GAAGTATGGGACAATGTTTTACAGATGCCACACGGCAATTGACAACAGCCGATTGTGATGTATAAAGATCTGGAGAAAGGGTGGTCCCTCAGAATATATTAATCGTAACAAAATTACATGACAATGGCATACTCGATTTGATTGAGACTGTACATGAGGAGTAATGAAAAGAGCAACATTTTTCATGCTCCCCAGCACCGGCTCGAGAGGAACTCAATTTTCAACACTTAAACAGTGCTAGAATCAATGATCCTGAAGGACCAGAAAATTGTAACAACACTGATGTGAAGAACGGGGAAATTTTTTACAGCTGCCACACGGAACTTGACACCTGCTGTTGTGATGTATAAAGATCTGAAGAAAGGTTTATCCATCGGAATCATTAAAAATTAAATCATAACAAAATAAAATAAAAATTGCAGACTCGCTTTGATTAAGTTTTGCAAAAATTCTTTCAAAAGATTACATGTAGTAGAATTTGATGACATTAAGCATGTGGTCCATTTTACCTGTGTAATAATAACGTGTGTTATTTCAAGTTGTTTTAATTTTATAGTCGTCCCTAAATTCTGGCCAAAAAGCAAAATAAAATTTTGAATTAAGAATATTGTAAGATATTGTTTCGGTTTAAATGTTTTAGAGATGATAACATTTCATTTCAGTTTATTGGCAAATCGGCAAATAAACATTACCTTTTGGCAATTAACAGAATATCATGACAAATATGACCAAAAGTTAAATAGTTACAAACATTATATCATATAATATCTAACAAAAAGAGTACAAGAATGAAACTAAGAAGCAGTTACATATTCAAGAGACTGTTGCCTCAACTAAAATGCAAAATGAACATAGTGAGCACATTTAAGAATAAGCTTTTTATTATTAGTGGACAATATAGTCGAACATTTTTGTATAGTAGGCCATGAAATGTTTCCAAAATAATTGGTTCTTATAACAGTATAAATTGGGCAGCATAAAAGGAAATGGTATTCTGATTCAATAGAGTTATATATACATAATTTACATTTGCGATAATTTCTATCAATGTTAAAAAATCTTCCTGTTTCTATTTCTAACTTATGCGAGTCTAGTCTGAAACAAGCAAACTCTGTTTCTTAACACGTTATTTGTTAAAGATATTTTTCATAACAAAAAGAAGTTTTACAATTTCTGTAATAATCAAGCTTGGGCATATTATGTATAGAAGTATTCCAGTTCGGTATATATTGGTCACGTAGAGGCTGCTTTAACATTGGCATATAATTAAAATTTAAGTTAAAATTACGCTAAATGTCACTACAACCTAAGCTGTCTAACAATCGTTTTATACTGCGTTCATTGAACGCCGCCTTTCCTTGTCGATCTTTTTTTTATCATATTTTATACTGCTTGCCAAGTTACAATCAGCATTTCTATTATTCTGGTCTACAAACATGTTGGTGAGTCCTGGTTATTCATAATTTTTAACCAGAATTTAAGAGTTCTTTCTTTGGAAATAACAGAAAGAGGAAATCTTCCTAACTCACCAAACACAGCAACATTTGGTGTTTGCTGATGTAAACCAAATATATTCTTGCAAAATTTAACATGAATTTTGTCTATTTCTTTGCAATCGTAAATATAACTAAATACCTGATCTATGTTAATTGAAACAATCAAACAGGATGTTAAACGCTTTTCGGTCTCACTGAATTCATGCTCTGTTTCTTGTAGCAAAGAAATATAATCACATACATTGTAACAACGTATTGGCGATGAACATGTATATATGTTTGTGACAAATAAAGTGTTAGTTCTGTTCTGAATTATTTTAATTGAAGCAAATGAACAGACTGGTAAACGCTTTTCGGTTGCACTGAAATCACGCTCTGTAGTCGTATCTGAGCAAGAAATATAATCAGATTTGTATCAAATAACAAAATCAATTCAAATTTATTTTCTTTATTTTAGTAACAAATATATAGCACATACATATTCAATAACAATCAATTCAATAACACATAATATAAGTATAAATTTTGCACGTAAACGATATCAATGTTTTCTAAGAATTGATCTAATCATGTCAGTCAAAATCACTGTTGAGTGAACCCCTTCCTTCGTCACTTTCTTCATTACGAACAAATGTATTCATAAAACTGTCAAGTAAATCATCTTCAGTTATTCTAGCATTGAGTTTATCTTTACACAATGTACGTTTGAGCTCGTTCAGTTTGATATAAGTGTCTTCAGCATAACTGTCAAAGATATTCCGTTCTAATTCACATACACTGTCAAAACAGTCACTGTCATCTTCAAATGCACTTTCGTAATCTTCTGTGACGTCAGTTTCGTAGAGAATACCTTCATTCAGTTTATCATTCCTTGTAAAAGACGCGTGTTCTTTTCTAATGTTACTTAAAATAAACGCTACATTCATATCGTAAACATCGTCAGAATCTAAGTTGGAATTAATGCTTTCTTCACCATCACCACGTGTTCTTTCCGGAAGTTGAGGGTCAAAATCAGAGATATCTTCACATCCGACTCCGCTTGTTCTAACTGGTAGGTACATATCATTACACTCTGATCCGTACGTGTCGTTATTCTGTATCGAATCGTTCAGGTATCTTTGCAAAAGTTCCTTCTTGCCTATGGCTTCCAGTGGAATATTTTGTACCCTAGAGATTACGTCGATAACAGATATGTTTTTGTTATAGAAATCTTTCTTTACGTTGTTGTTATTGATGTTGTCACAGAGATACGCTTCAATCTTTTGATGAGTTTTCAATTCATCTTTCATTATCAATGTTCTTAAACGTTGCAATTTTGTCGCAGCGCTTTTTATTGACGACAATTTTGATTTTATTTTGTCCATGTTCTTCATCTCGAGATAAGAATTTATCAAGATAAGAATAATTTGTGAATTGTATTTCAGTTTAATGTTCTGATAATATGATAGTTTAAAACATCTTTGATGGCGAATTTAATTTTTTTTCTTAATTTATATTCTGAACGTCATGGTATATGAACCTGCAAGAAAACTAAGGACACACTTAATGATTAACACTTAATAAGTAATTAGTCTAATAATTGATCAATTAGTAATTGTTACAATTAGATGACAATATATAATTGTTGCGCGTGCCTTTAGTGTTAATTGGTGTGATGCAGGATAAATCTGTTACTGGAATTCTGTTTCCAGGAAATACTTATTGTACTTAAATCAATACTATTGACACGTGCGGCATAGAATAATTAATAATACATAATTTATTAATTAAGTGTGACGACGCGTGTTATTACTAGTAATTCAGCCGCGTCTATATACTGCACCATTTAATAAGACATTAATTTTCAATGAATTACTGGAAAAACAGCTATGTTAACCAAACGTTTGCCATTGGAGAACATTTAATATGTTAATGAATTCGAAATCGAAAAAGTAATTTTGTACTCAGCAAAATAAATATATTTGGCTTCACAAAAATCTTAGCTGTATGACTTGTATAAATGCTTAATGGTCTTTAATTGGACGCATTTATAAGTTTAAATGATACAATGTCGATCAATATTTCTGACCTTATGCCCTCAAAGGGTATATAGTGAGTGAAAAGGTGAAAGTCATAAGTTTACATTTTGCCATTATTCCTTTCAGTTTTGTAATTTAGTTCGGATGAACGATAAATAACTCACATGGCCAAAGGAAATATCTCGAAATATTTATTGAAATATACATTTAAAAAAAGCGGAGGAGCCTGCTAAATAAGTTATATTTTTATCCTAAACATTTTAAAATATCAGCAGTTAATGTTGGTCATAATAACATTCTGTTGAAATATATAGTCAATTCAGTTATACTTCACAATGAAAAATATGAGCATAATGTCACTTTAAGCTAAATGTTTAAGTTACTGTTACCGGGGAGCGAAAACAAAAGACGGACACATTTCTTGTAAATACAATCATTTTTCAAGATTTGAAGAATTATGAAATAAGTGTTGCTGTGTCTAATTTATGTAATAATTTGAAATGAGCCGCGCCATGACAAAACCAACATAATGCGTTTGCGGCCAGCATGAATCCAGACCAGCCTGCGCATCTGCGCAGTCTGATCAGGATCCATGCTGTTCGCTATATATTTCGCTGTTACTGCGCGGATGCGCAGGTTGGTCTGGATCCAAGCTGGTTGCAAATCCATGGCGTGGCTCAAATAACGACAGATCAGAATGTGAAATATGAAATTAAAGCAGATGAATATTATTTTATTCAACTTTGTCAGAAAGGTATGTAATATTAAAACATATGGTTCATCTATAAGGACAATAAGTACCTTCTTTTGTAAATATAATAGCACCCAGAAAAAATGATTTAAAGATAAGCGATGCTTATTTTGGGGTTAAATTTTTTATGAAAGAAATACATTGAAATTTATTGAAATCTATGAAATTCTTACCGGATATGTCTCACTTGAATGACAGAATGAATACACTATGTGTGGGAAGCTGTGTTCCCTATTACAGGTCAAGTTAAGTTGGTATTTTATTTAAAGAATTTTTTTATAAAGACACTATATATATATATATTCATAGTGTGACCACTTATAGTATGTTGAATTTTAAGCATAACATATCTAATTTGTTTGGAGTCAAAACGTTTATTTTATATTTACAAAGAGACTGTGTATCGATTACCATTAATTTCTAATATCAAATTTAAGCAAAGTATATCTTCAAAGAAAAATGAGAAATTATAATAATAGTATTTTTAGGTTTAAAGGGCCTTTAAGTATGATATCATTAAATTTTCTTATCACGACTGTATTTACTTAAATATACTATCTCATTCTTACATGCATGGTTGCATTTATTTTTTATTTTTATACTTCATCATCAATGCACTTTAACGCATACTAGTATGTAATCTGTGTAATACTGATATCAACTTTATCTTTTTGTAGTGTTTGTACCTTAAATAGTTTGGGGACCTTTCTGTTGAAAATGAGTCAGAGTTAAATCGTATACATACACATGCACAGCGCTTTAACTGGAGTGCAGGTACACATGTATTAGTTACCCTCACTACAGAGCATGCCTATTGATTGGCTCATTTTTGCTGGGGTTTACATATTGTGACAGCAGAGAAAGAGAAAGCGACAGAAATATCATATTCAGATGAACGTTCATTTGTTCCTTTTTGCCGGGGTTTCATATTGTGACAACAGGGAACGTGTTTTATGTTTGACTATGATACAAAAGGGAAAGAACATCAACACACTCGGCAATCTGATTAATACTCGGGGGCTACACCCCCTCGTACAAATCAGATAGCCTGGTGTCTATTACATGGACAAGCCTTGTTGAATGTGTATTTTAGAAGTCACTGGCGTTGGATAAGTAATATTGTTGAAATCTATCAGGAATATTGTGCTAGGGGTGGTGAGGGTCAGACCAGGGACTGTGAGTACTAAATTAAGTAAACAAATTGGTAAATATTAAATAGTTTTCATCTACTTTTTCAAATTTAATAGACAAGAAAGCACTTTTAAAGAAACATTTATCTGGATTGATGTTATTTATTGTTTTTTTATTGTTTTTTTTTACTTTGAAAGGACATTGATATAAAAGTTATTAAAACAAAACGACAACGTTAAAGCTCGAGTGTAAAGCATAATCCAAATACAGTATTCATTATTTATGAAGTTATCTAAATCAATCGCGGTAGGTGGTGAAAGATTATCCCTCGATAAACAGAGGGCCAGTCACATTCGCATTACTCCCGGTAGAGGATCATGAAATTAAACCGGGTAAACTTCGATAAACAAAGGGCCTGTCTGATTTTCAAAACTATTGGTAGAGGATCACGAGATATTTCCGTTAGACTCCAATTAAAAGGGAGCCCGTCAAATTCTCAATATTCCCAGTATATGGTGGTGAAATGTTTCAAGTCAAAGCCCGATAAACAGGGTGCCGCCTGAGAGACCCTCAAACAATCCTGGTAGGCAATCGTGAAATGTTTCTGACTATAGATTATGTTTTTTGTGATGCTCGGACCTATGGCCCTGGTTTGAAATTTGTTTGATAAAGTACTATACCATTACTATTTACGCATTGTCTTATTTGCTATAATCTTATTTGATATTTATTTGATTTTTTAGAAGACCATGGCACTTATAAACAAGGACATTTTATTATTGCTGTCGGGATGGATGATTTTGTGTGCCGAGACTCAAACTCGGGATTGTGAGTTTACTTAGTAGCATATTACACCATTATTTAAAAAAAAGGTTTATTAACATAAAAATATTTCAATTGATTCAATTGGCAATTATGAAAAAATGTCAGTTTCATTTATAATTGTTCGTTGACCTCTTGCACTTGAATAAGCGTAATGTCATTTTAATGTGCGAACTGGTAATATTAAACGAAAAAGACCATTCAGTATTATATCACATACCTGTGCCGATTTTGCGACTTCGTAAAAAAAGTACTGAATGGCCGTGCATATATTTTGACGTGATGTCATTTGCATTATATTTAAACATAGTGTAAAGACACGCTAAATGAACGGAGCGTCCGTGGCCGAGTGGTTAAGGTCGTTGACTTCAAACCACTTGCCCCTAACCGCTGTGGGTTCGAATCCCGACAGGGAGTGTGGATTCTTTCATGTGAGGAAGCTATCCAGCTAGCTTACGGAACGTCGGTGGTTCTACTCAAGTGCCCGTTCGTGCCTGAAATAATGCACGGAAGGGCATCTGAGGTCTTCCTCTACCAGTAAAGCTGAAACGTCGCCAAATGACATATACTGTGTCGGTGTGACGTAAAACCCAATCAAACAAACAAACACGCTAAATGAAAGCGTTAAACTATAGACACTATAAAAAATATTCTTTGCACTTCTAACAGTCTGTAGTCATGTCTTGATATATTATAAATAGAGGATATTGAATGAGTGTAAGTTCAATACTGAATTTATTGAACTCGTTGAATAAAATTATATTATGTGAGCCTCTGGCGAGCATGATATTATTTTATTCAACGAGTTCAATAAATTCAGTAATAACATAAACGAATTTGATTTTCTATTTATCACATGCAAAAAAAGACCGTTTAAAGTGAAAAAGAGTCATTTTTCATTGACGTGCCTATAGTATAACGCTACCATGTAGCACGTCTTTACACTATGTTTGTATATAAAGTTATAAACGCAAATGACGTCACGTCAGTATAGAACATGCACGGCCGTGCAATACCATTTTTACGGAGTCGCAAAAACGGCATGGGTATGCGATAAATAGAAAATTATTTTCAGGTAGGTTATTACTGAATTTACTGAACGCATTGAATAAAATGATATTATGCTTGCCAGATTTGTGTTTGTACATTCATTGTGTTAATACTTTGTCAGGTGTAAAAAAATATTCATTACAAAATACAGGTTGACGTGTTAACAATATGTTCATATAAAATAACGTATTTCAGTATTCATGGATTCCCCTACAGCATGCGGTAAAACATTCGCGGCAGGTGATCGAGAAGTGTTTCGTGTAAAACCACGAGGAACAGTTGGTGTATCTCACCCTACAACAAACTGCGTCGTGTACTTTGAATATAGTCAAGCAGGTTCGAACTACAAGTTTGAAATTGTGGTAGAAGCGGCTTCATTTCGTGACTGCGGGCTTCAGCTACGTATATTTGATGGCAAGAGCACTGGTGGCAATTACCTGGTTAGAAAATATTTTGCTATCATTTAAATTACGCCAAAACAATTTAGTTTTATACATTCAGTTTCATTATGTTGTTGTTTTTTCGTCCCACCAATGCTTGCTGAGAAAATTAAATTGCGATTATCGTCTTCACAATGGGGAACAGTAAGTAGCCATTGTGGGCAATATTGATGCATCAAACGGACACAAATATCTGGAAAAAGGGGAATTAAAAACAGCAAAATAACCTGAGAAGACAAGTCGGTTTGATGGAGTCTGTACGTGAGGGATAATGGAAAATGCAACATCCCTCACGCTCGCTATCACCGGTTTGAGCAATACTCAATTCTCAACACTTAAAAGCACTGGACTCAATGATCCCGAAGGATCAGAAAAATATAACAGCATTGAAGTGAAGTTTGGGGCAACATTTTACGGCTGCCACACGGCACTTGACACCTGTTGTTGTGATGTTTAACGTCATTTTTCTGATCTTTGCGAAAAGTTCAAACATTTTAACAAGATACAAATAAAGAATGTAAGAGTGTTGTGAGTTGAAGTATAATAAAGAACAATGTAAACAAAGAACAGCTTTAATTCTATAAAGGCCAAGAAGTAATATATGTTACAGCGGAAAATTATGCCTGTTTTGATAAATGATAATATACTCATGCCTTTTTTCAGCGAGTATTGGGCTGTGGTTCAACAACATCTACTGCACAGTTCTATTCGAAGGACAGGGCAATCACACTCATGTTGACTCGAACTCAGAACCAGTATTTCTTCGGGAGTGACTTTCAGCTCAAAATACAGCTTTACTGTAAGTTAGTCGTAACGTAACGTAAACTTAAAAATTAATATCGGTCGTAGCGGTGATTATCGGCTATTTAACACCGGTTTGGAGTTTTGATGCGTAGAAATTGAACACGAAGCCCGTGGGTTTGAGTGGTTATTTTTTTTTCGCATCAAAACGTCAAATCTAACAAGATAAAATAAGGAAGATAACTAATGTTATTTTTTCAAGCGAAAACAACTTCCGGTGCCGATTTTCGTATAACGCACCCTACTGTTGCTAAGGTATAGAAATTATTTAATAAAAGAAATAATAAGAACTTTCGTCTAAGTCTGGATTGTTTACATCAGTGCCACATTAATTATTCTTGTATGTTTGAAATGACGTCACTCTAGGGCGTTTATGAATGAGTTGTATACTTAAAGATGATGTCATTACGCTGCTAACGGATTGGCGCCGTTTTGTCAAAATATTTATTAACTGATATGGATCAAATCTGTGGCGTTAGTGTATGTGAGATATTATTTCGGTAATGTATAAAAAAGAAAACATGATAAGAACTGAAAATATCCATAAAAAATGCGTTTTTTGTTGCTTTAAATGGCTTTTTAAACTACATAACAGCCGCACATACAAGTAGTCCCTAACCATTGTTTATTGGCAGTTTAACACCTATTATTTTTTCATCTTTGTCTATAGTGACAAAATCACGAGGAGTGTTAGAATTATAGATATAATGATATGAATCAGTAAATAAATATTTGTTTACTTTCAGTAAATGAGCAAGCAAATAAATGTTATTTAAAATTGGTACAATAATTGGTGAACAATCAAACAACAAAAAAACAAGAGGTTGTCAGTTAGACTTAGCAGATTTGCCTCGAATTGATTGAAATTATTGTGGGTACAATGTGATCAGTTTTTTTAATGTTAAATGTGCATCATTGAAAATTAGAACAGAAAAAAAAGAATCCATAAAGAGAGCCCAAAACTGCAAGATTGTATGTTAATACGAGAAACCTGTAATGTGTAATAATTTTAACTAAAATGTGATCCCTCGCTTTATATTCTTGTACAATTATAATCCGAAATAGAAGGTAGATACTCATTTCATATTTAAGAGTGGAATAGAAATACAATATATACTGTATATGTCAAAAATGAAAATAAGTGGTAAGTTTACATTAAACATTTTTTATTCCAGATGATAGTGATAGTAGTGAGAGCAGCAGTCAAGATACCGTTGACGGTAAAGTATCTTTTTCTATTTCTCTATAACGAGACAAAAAAAACATGTTGGATTATTCCGACGTGTCGCAAAAATTCTCTTTCATTTTCTTGATGACGTCATAATTTGTTTGATAGCGTTTTATTTTTTAAAAATTTTTTGATGGCGTATTAATTTGTTTGAACATAGTAGGCCTAATGGAAAATTCAAATATCTTACCAAATCATTAAACATAAAAGTTTATGAACATTTGTAGTTATGTTTTAGCCATGTAAAAATACATTTTTGTGCGTGCAGTAGATGAAATAGAATCAAAATACCATCGAAATAATATTGATCCAGCATCTACTTAAAACATCAAATTGTTGTGTTTTTTGGGTTGTTTTTTTTTTACTATTTAAGGAAATGTTGTAAGATATGTTTAGTTTAAACAATATTTTATTTATAAGTATTACATTTACATGATAATTGACAAATAATAAATAGTACGGATTGAGTAGGAAGCTAAGCTTTTAAAGATATGTTTGTCTTTATACCAATAAAATTTATGTTATGGTTTGTACACATGTCCGTCCACTCAAACTATTAATACCAGTAAAGATTTAGATCTACAAACAAATCTATTTACAAGAAAAAAAAAGATTTTACAGAGTAAAATATTGAATTTTCAGATATCAGTGGAGATGTCAGTGGTGCAGATAAATTACTGGGTGGATCTATACTTAACATAGTTATTATGTTACTGTTATGGTAGCCATGGAATGTACTATATGCAATCAATTTTCTGAATGTGATGACGACATATTACAACTTTGTAAAGTCAGTGCTTTCAGTTAATGTTGAAAAGAAACAGTGAATTTACGAGAAGAAGCCGTACGTTATCACGATCAGACCGGTGGAAAATAATTTCACTTCGAATGTGTGACGCGCATTTCAGATAAAGTACAGAACGAAACATCATAAAATAAAATCCTGTGTACCCAAGAAATTGTAGAAAAGGTTATTACTTGTACCTTTACACTAGAACATCACGAATTTCAGCGTCATAGTGTTACTTTGTTGCCTTTTGTTGGAAAAAAGCTTATTTTGTGACACTGTTTTATAATAAAGAAGCAACTTTAAGGGAGATATGGTCTTTCTTTTGAAAAAAAAACACATCCTGTGTGAATTTTATAAACAGACTCATTTATTAGCTTCAAGACTTGTATAATTATATTCTGAATAAAAGATGTTTTCTGATGGCATATATCTTTGAATGATTTTAAAGGTGGTAAAATATTTTCTTTTCTTCTTGACATATTTTGTCATTCTGTTTAAGATGACCGAAAGGATCACATGCTTATGAAAATTTTAATTTCCTGCCCGTCCCATCCATTTAACATGTAGGTACATTTGTTGATTGGTGACCAGTGTGACATTCGTTTTTTTCTGTATTTCAATGTTTAAATTCCAGCATGTGTAAGTACTGTAGGTTTATTCATATTAATGCCTTCTTGTAAGATATTATTTTGATGATGTATTTGCCTAAAACTCATTGAATCTCAGGAAAGGCTAAATCTTGCAAGCAGGATTTGGCAAGTCTTGAAGAATATGCTACTAAAGAGGTGATATGAAAGTCTTTGTGTAGGATGCGCTTTATGAAGAATATTATCTTTTGATTATAATTGTACATGTAGGTTGACTAACAGAGCATTTTCCATTGTGTTTGGTGACTTAAAAATGCCACATACTAATAATTTAATTGTATATGATAAGGAAATATGATATGTGATTCAAGTGATCCTTGAGATACCTAAAAGCAATCTCTAAAAAACTGAACTTCGCTTGTGTCATTCATTGAATGAAAACTTAAAGGCACATTATGCCTCAGAAATGAATAAATATTGACCACTTTAGTAAGTTTAAACATGTGTTTTACAACATTAAATAATGGTTTTCGAGCATGTTACATGATTGTTTCCTGAAGAAAATAGCGCGAACTGTAACATTATAAGTCATAAAGGTAACAAAATGTAAACGACTTCCTTACAAAATACTAAATCACTATACTTATTGCCAAAAAGCAACAGAAAAAGAAGAAAGTTCAGGTAATTGGCCAATTATTCAATTGTGGAAAACTTTAAAAGAGTACAAAAGATATATGAGATTTTGAGAAATAAAAATGAAAGTTTTTCTGGGGCATAATGGGCCTTTTAAGCCTAGCTAAAAGGACCGTTGTAACACTAAATAACATGAAGAAAGACTATGCTGCATTCGACCCTAAACCCTTCCTCTTTTATGTTTATTCTTACCTGTATCTGTCATACTGTAATCAAATCTATACAAGTACTACTGATAATATTACATGTATTAAACTTTATCATTCTGTAGTGTCACATAACTATATTTTGTCTATCTATTACCTCAGAAGGACATATTGAAAATAAGTATACTTCTTACTGTGTAACCTTCGTATTTTATCTTCTATAAATAAAGATTTTATCATTCTTCTTCTTCTTCTTCTTCTTCTTCTTATTATTATTATTATTATTATTATTATTATTATTATTATTATTATTATTATTATTATTATTATTATTATTATTATTGGTAAAATATTCCTGTATTTTAGAAGAAACATTGGATTGTAACAATAGGTAATGATATTGAAATCTTTCAGGAATATTGTGCTAAAGGTGTTAAGGGTCAGACCAGGGACTGAGAGTACTGAATAAACAAATAGATAAAACAAAAAATTGTTTTTGTTTTCATATTCTTTTTTTAAATTCATTAGACCAAAAAAAAATTTCTTTCTGCGAGCAATGATAGCACAATTTCAGCAATAAACACGGATCTGCTAAACAACGTTAAAGTTCGAGTGTTTGTTGAAATAAGCTTAACATGAAAAAACCAAAATTTCAGTCATAAACTTACCGTCAACAGCAAACGGCCATTTTTATGCACCGCTTCTGCGACGAATACTCCACCACTGCTGCGATGGACCCACCGCTTCTGCGAAAGCTATGGCCAGTGTGGAATTGCACAGTAATAATCACTGCACTTTGACAAAAGATATTACCAATAAATTTATTTAATTAACGACAAGATAAGTTCAATTTTTTTTATTTATTGTAAAATAATAAGTGTAGCACATATATATTCAATAACAATCATATCAACAGCAAATTATATGTAGCATATATGTTATACAAACAACATATCAATAAATTAATAATCGTCCAAATCATTCAAAATCACTGTTCACTGAACCCCTTCCTTCGTCACTTTCTTCGTTATGAACAAATGTATTCATAAAACTGTCTAGTAAATCGTCTTCATTAATTCTAGCATTGAGTTTATCTTTACTTAATATACGTTTGAGCTCGTTCAGCTTGATATAAGTGTCTTCAGCATAACTCTCACAGATATTCCGTTCTAACTCGCATATACTGTCATAACAATCACTGTTATCATCAAACGCACTTTCCTCATCTTCTGTGTCGTCAGTATCATAGAGAATACCTTCATTCAGTTTATCATTCCTTGTAAAAAGCGCGTGTTCTTTTCTAGATGTACTAATAATAAACGCTGCATTCATATCGTGGACATCGTCAGAATCTAAGTTGGAATTTATGCTTTCTTCACCATCACCACGTGTTCTTTCCGGAAGTTCTGTTTCAAAATCAGAGATATCTTCACATCTAACTCCGCTTGTTCTAACTGGTAGGTACATATCGTTACACTCAGATTCGTACGTGTCGTTAATTTGTATCGAATCGTTCAGATATCTTTGTAAAAGTTCATTCTTCCCTATCGCTTCCAATGGAATAGTTTGTACCTTAGAATCGGTAACAGATATGTTTTTGTTATAGAAATCTTTCTTCACATTGTTGTTATTGATGTTGTCACAGAGATACGATTTCATCTTTTGATGAGTTTTCAATTCATCTTTCATTATCACTGTTCTTAAACGTTGTAGTTTTATCGCAGCGCTTTTTATTGACGACAATTTTGATTTGATTTTGTCCATGTTCTTCATCTCGAGATAAGAATTTATCAAGATAAGAATAATTTGTGAATTGTATTTCAGATTTTTTTTATTCTGATAATATGATAGTTTGGTTTTATAGAGTCAAATCAACTTTGATGTCGAATTCAAGTTTGCTTTTTAATTTATACTCTTAATGTCATGGTATATGAACCTGCAAAAAAGCTTAGTAGCGGCACGAGGCGCCACTCTTAATAATTAACACTTAATTAGTAATAAGTCTTTTTTATTGCTCAATTAGTAATTGTTACAATTAGAGGACAATTATTTAATTTCTGCGCGTGTCTATAGTGTTAATGCGTTTAAAGCAGGTTAAATTTGTTACTGGTGTTTCCAGGAAATAATTATTATACATAAATTAATATTATTGACACGTAAGGCATAAAATAATTATTACAATGTAATACATATTTTTTTAAAATTAAGAGTGACGACGCGTGTTATTTCTAGTAAGTAAGTTGCCTCCATATACTGCACCATTTAGTAAGACATTTAATTCAATTCAATATTTTATTTGGCATAAACATATACAATGTTCATAACCAATACACAACTGTATGGTGGATATAATGTACAATTGAGAAAACTTTGTTATTACAAAGTTACAGTTGTAGATAATACATGCATTTAATAATTGATTTGGTAATAAATGACAAAATTCATTGATTATATTGTTTTTCAGCATTAGCACAATACTTGAAGTAGTTAACTAGCTATTAAATAAATATTAACTCATTAAAAATGATAAAATGCAATATGGTAATTACATATTTCTCTTAACATTACCTTAATATATTAATCTTGAGGTTTTGTTTAAACTGCTACTCTGAGTGCAAGATAATAATGCTTTAAAATTTTTTTAATTAGGCCAATGTCAATAATATTTCGGCAATCATTCATTTCTTATTTCTCTATAAAAAGGGCAAACTAGTAAAAAATGGGATTCGTTTTCAATACTACTCATATTACATTTTGTACATATTTTTAGTCTTCTGTCAATAGTGCTATGTTTCCCATCTTTTGTAAGTAGATGATGAG